AGCAAGTGAACCACTTGCTAGGTGAGGTGGCTAAGAAAAATACTATTCTTTTATTGTATAACTTGCCACGTAGGAAAGCAAGTTAGAAAGCATGCACTTTCTAACTTAGAGCATCCACATCAAGGGAAGAAATGGGAGATAATGTCAGATTATTTCACTTAGGTGGGGTTATTAACAAGTGTGCGGAAGAATTAATGGGGGAGTTATTTAGCTTGCAAATGTTTGAAGAATGGCAGAAAAAAAATACTAAAAGGGGACACAGGCTATGCGCGAATGGCCACACGGGCGCGTCAGGTGCGCTGATAGTGCGCCTGACGCTTCAATTTTTTTTTTTAAATTTCAGTTTTGTTCCTTTTTTTTTCTTTCTTTTTTCTCTCCCCTCCTGTTGATTTTCACAGCCTCGATGGCCGCTCGGCAGGCCAACACTACCGAATAGTTGTGTTTGCGGGATGATGAAAACGAGAGATAAAGTATTAAAGAGAGAGAGAATAATGCGATATTATTTCTCTAGGGGTTTGCCCGTAAAGTGCCGATTCGATACATGGTGGTCTCAGGGAGATATTTATACATCAGCTCGGGGCTCGTATATGGTAAGTAAGGTTGACGTAAGCCCAAGCCTAGAGGCGGGTAGGGCTGACAAAAGACTGACGCAACCATCTACTTATTGCCATAAACCGTCTAGCCTAATTAAGGAAGCTACTTAAATGAATAAAGATTGCTTCTGTAGAGTCTGTTGATGTCCGTCTCCGGGTTTGTGCCCAGTTAGGAATGTCTGGCTGCCATGAAACCTCTTTGGAGGCCATCGTGTCCAGGCGAGGACGCTCCGCCTTTGCAACCTGGTCTCCTAGTCGGGTTTTGGGGTGGCGACCGGTCGGGGGCACACCGCCCGCGTAGCCTGGTTATCCATCTGAATCTGCTGGGGTATTCAGCTGGAGACACGCCGGCTACCGAGGCTGGTCGCCCAACCGAACCTCGTCCAAGAGCCCGCCCGGAGATGCTCCGACTGCTAAGGTTTGGTTGCTGAAAGATGAGCAACTGCTGCCATCAGACACCTTATAGGACGACCGAGAAAGGTCTCGGGGATCCCCCAACGCTAAGTATTGAATCATGCCTTGACCCGGCTGCCTTACCTGATATTCCCGTCCATGCGGCTAACCGGGGTATCTATCACCTCCCATCTCCTCTTTCCTAATCACTCTTACAATATCCCCATAATATTCCCAATTGATAATGATGCTCTTAGAAAGTGCTTGCTAATTGTTTCAAAGCTGCAAGGCGGCAGCTTTTGCCACTTTTGCTGACAAAAGCTGCCGTTTTATTATTATTATTATTTTTTATCTTTTATTATTATTTAATTATTATATTTATAATATAATATAAAAGTGGGACCCATTTTAGAAAGTGAGAGAAATTTTTGGGATGAGGATAGCCTTATAAATTATGAACTTTGAAAATCATTTGATTTTCTTGCATTAAAAAAAATTTAGGTTTAATTTTTTTGTTTAATTAATCTTTTTTTTTATTATTATTTAGAACAAAACTTAATATTTTAATTATATTTTTGCATTATTGGAATGATTTAGGTTATTATGGTATTAATATTTTTTTGTATGTATTTTTATAATGGTACAATTGTACTTACTTTGTAAATATTATACTATTATTTTTTTATCGAACAAAATTGTTCTTACATCATCGTCAGACATGTGCGACATAACTACAAAGTTATTGATAAATATAATTACACATGTACTCTAAAACGGTAGGACCATTTTCCAAAGAATTGACAATGTTGACATCCCACTGGCTCCACTTAAACAAGTTTACACATCAGTATTTTATCAATACAAGAAATTTATAAGTTAATTTTTACTATATCATTATAACAATATCTATTGTAACCATATATTTTGAATTATTTATTATCATCCTCTATTGACAGCAATTTTAACAATTGTCATTGACAAACCCTTAAAACAATATGTCTCAACAATGAATAAAAATTTTAAAAAATCAATGATTTCATTATTGTGGATGAAAAATATGTACGCCAGGCCACTTTATTACTCTTATTAAATTAAATTCTTTCATGTTTTTTTTTTGGCCCCCCCACACCCCAGCCCGACAGAGCATTTGGGAGGATGTAAATCATGGTGACTCAACTGAACATGAACCACAGAGGCTAGACCGGTGCTCACTGCGCAAAAGGAGCCCCCTCACTTTGAGAGGTTGCTCCCACACTGCCGCTGGTGAGACTCGATCCCTGGTCATTCTTTCAAAGTTTTAAAATTAAATTAAATAAATTAGTAACTACAACAAAAATAATATTTATGCATTTAATTAATTTAGAATTAGATGTCTATAATGCCATTATTTTAAAAAAAAATGTATTTATTATAAAAAATTTAAAAACATATATAATTTCATTAGTCATATTATCTTTATTTTTACAATTCAAAAATTCTTTATCTTCAAATTTATTAATTTATTATATTTACTACATTATCCATTGTCTTTTTTTTTTTTACATTATTTTGTAATTAAATATCAAAGTTATATTTCTAAAAAAAATATATCAAAGTTATAATACAAAATATGTTATATATATTAATTTACCAAGTATTTTATACAAATATAATAATTATTAATAGTTTGTTCAATACTTTCACATGATAACCTACGACACACATCTCACAACACATGAAACATATAGGGGAAAAACTATCACTACCAAATATCAACATGTGATTGTAAGATAAAAAGTTCATAGTACAACTAATAAAATCTCAGTAATCATATACACAACAAGACAAATCTAAAGCTTCCTACACCATTATCTTATTGCATAATGAATCCCTCTATGCTACCGCCAGTAACCCAAGTGCACATGACACACTACCAATAAAAAGAATGGCATGTACTGAAAATAAAGACAATGACAGTGCTACCCAAAATAGAACTAATAAGAAGAATTAGAGAAATTATCCAAAAGAGAATTAAGAAGAATTAGAGAAATTTAAACTAAAAGTAGTATTTATTTAGATAATCGCTTTTAGACTAAGTATTTTTTTTTTTTTTAAATTTTAGACTAAGTATTTAGACTAGCGTTATTACAAAGTTGCAAACATTTATTTTAGTGACATTATAATCAATCTCTCATATATTATCTTGCATTTATATACTTTAAATTACCGATTTAAATAAACAAATTCAACATTTATTTATCTATGCATGAACATCTCATATATAATATTGCATTGATATACTTTGAAATATTTATTTAAAAATAATAATTGGGCATTATCTCATTCACGCAAAGCGCGTAAAAAAACTAGTAATAATATAATAAGAGTAAAATAGAGTACTAATAATTATGCCAACTTTGATTGGATGAGGTTCGAACCTAAGACCTTTCTTGTTGAAATCAATGAGTAGTTAACGGTGAACTAACATAAATTAACGAAAAAGATAATATTTAACGGGAAAGTTAACCAATAATTATATAATTAAGGATAAATTAGGAAATCTAAAAGAAAAATAAAAATCTGATAAATCTGAGTCATTCATTTGATTATAAAATTTGACCGTTATTTTTTCTACCCATTATAGGCCTAACTCTCTGACTCTTAAAAGTGGTTGGTAGTATGGATGGAAAACATTTTCCATTATAAAATGAATTCCTCAAACTTGAGGAAAATGAATTCTTTGCAAAGGGTTAAATGGGTGGGATTTTGTTTTCCACGTGGGTTGGGAAGAAAAATAACATGAGTGTACCGTTTTACCCTTATGAAAGTTTCTTAATCTTAATTACATAAGCACCTATTTATTCATTCATATTTTTAAGGGCATATTGGTCTTTATATTCATTATTCCTTATCTTTCTAAACCCAACCAAACAATGGAATCCATATTTCCAGTAATTTCTTTTCCACCAACCAAACAATTGAATTAATTCTCCTGAAATTTATTTTTCATGGAATTTCAATTCCATTTCCCTTCAAATATTTTCCATCAAACCAAACGGGCTGTTATTAGTATAGTAGATAGTAGATGTTATGTTACATTTTCAAAAAAGATTGCATAACTTAAACTAAACATTAGAATCTTAGGGTCCGTTTACTAACAGAAAACTGTTATCTGTTTTCGTTTTCTAATTTTTCAGTTTTCATTCTCTGTTTTCTGTTTAGAAAACTTGTTTACTAACATAAAACTGTTCTCTGATTTATGTTTTCTAATTTTTTAGTTTTCACCTAAAATTTAGTTTAGATAATATTAATATTTTTGAGTTAATATTTAAAATATTTTTTTTTGGATATATTCATTTAAATGACATGTATATGAATATATAACTTTTACTTTAAATTCTAATATATGTGAGATTTCAATATCCGATATCTAGACCGAACTTGTATTATGATGTAACATAATTAAAAATATTCGAACTAATAATCTATTGAGTTCAATCAAAATCTAAAACATTATATAGAGTTTAATTCTTAATTTTGATAATGTAAATAATGTCTAACTTTAAAGTGTAAGCAAATAAATTATGTTTAAATAAGTAAAGTAAGTAGAAAAGATAGAAGATAGTGATAAGTAAAATAAGATGATAATGAACGTAATCATAGTAATGTGGTTATAGTGACATATAACTAAATAGATGATAGATGATTCTGTTTTTTATTTTGAAAACAGTTTTTAAGTGTGTTTGAGTTTTTCAGAAATTTCCAGAAATTATTTTCAGTTTTGAAAATGGAAACTGTGTTAGTAAACATGTTTTATGTTTTCTGTTTTCCAGTTTCCGGAAATTCCCAATTAGTAAACGGCCCCTTATATTTCCAAGAACCAAACACATTTGGTTTGGATTTGACATATTGTGCACAAAAATGTACATATTAATGTTAATTCTCGAAATTATATTGAATCTATTGACTTGTTTATGGAGTCCAAGATATAGCTCGGAGCAACCGGAAACTTGAGCCAGTGCCCTAAAGTCCCTAACTTGAGTAAACGATGTCGTTCAAAGCCGGGTTGCAGTGCATGCCTATGCGGATATTTGCAAGAGCGAGGTTTTTTCTCTAGTAACTCTCCCTTCGGCCTCTCTTCCACAGTTTTCAGTTTCAGTTCTGATTGACACTCCAATTCTCCGAAGGCGCACACACATTACATTACTGAGAGATGAGTATGTGGAACTATGTTGTCACTGCCCACAAGCCGACCAACGTTACTCATTCTTGCGTCGGCAATTTCACCGGCCCGCAGGAGCTCAATCTCATCGTTGCGTAAGCCTTTGCAATTATTATTATTAATTTTGGTTTTTTTTTTTGGGTCAATTTGTTACTGTTTTGCGCATTTGTGAACTTTGCTATTTGTTGTTCTTCGTCCACTAGCTTCGATGCTCGATATCTGGAGCTAGATGAATGGAATTAAAATCATAAAGGTTGGAGCTGATTTTCATTTTCTCGTAAAGACGGGAACTTTGCTTGAATTTAACAATTTTGACTTTTTGAGCGTGCGGGGCTTTTGGCTGCTTTATTTACACGCAATTGATTCTAGCAATTGTTTGATTCTGTATTGAAATAATCTTATGGAGAATAATTTGTTAATACTGAGACGGCTCCTTTAACATTGAACGAGAAGGGAATCAGGAGAAATGATTGGTAGAAGTGAAGCAGATTTATACACATTTTTGAATAGGGTAATAGGAAAATAAATACTATACACAGTTTTTTTTGCATATGACTTTCAGAGGAAGAAGAGAAAAACTCGAAAATTACCCTTGCTTTGGTTTTGATTCCAAACTAGATCTCAGATACAAAATTTTACATTTTTACTTCTACAGTTCTACCCATTTCTGCTGTCCCTTCTAGTTATGCAGTCATTAATGCTTGTGAATTGGAATAGACACTTGGCTGGTTCTATCAGAGAAATCTTGTGTTTTAGGGTATCATATAGTTGTAAACAAAGACCCTATTTTGCATGTTGCAAGATGGAAGATTTATCCAAAAATGTTGCTTTAAATTCATAGTGAGATTATCTCATCAGAACTCAAAACTGAACTGATGATATATCTTATTAATTGATATAAGTTGTGTAAGTTATGTTTACATTCTTACTACCTTCAAATTCATTAGGTAATTAGGTTTGAAGCCATTCACAACTGAACTGTCGAACTGTCCTTCTATTTGCAACTTTAGTTTTTTATAATTTATTATTATAATTTTCTAATTATCTTCTACGATATGATAATTTTTTTTTTCAGGAAATGTACTCGCATCGAAATTCATTTACTGACTCCTCAAGGTTTACAGGTCAATAGCCTTTTCTTATAATTTTATTTGCATCTTTATATTCATGTGTGCTTGAACAGCTTTCTATGTGGGGTTTTGGTTTGGACAAATGGTGGGGGATTAGTTCCCATATCCTTTTTTCTCCTCATTTCAAACCAACTAAGACTTGACACTTTTTTTCTTACAAATTTTTAACTTTTTACTTTTAAGGCACTGATACCCCTTTGTATTCTTTAGAAACAAATTTGTATGGCATAAAGATTTCCTACAAATACCTGACAACCAAATAATTTAAGGTCACTTGTGTTTAGTAACAGCGAATTAAAGAATTCATATTCCATTTTAAGTTCGTATTCTATCATGGATCATGCAGACTATGACTTCACTATCGTTTCTTCATTTGCCACTTGCAGCCTATGTTGGATGTGCCAATATATGGAAGAATTGCTACGCTTGAACTTTTTCGTCCACATGTAAGTTTATTTTTAGAAACTGTATTATCATTTTCTTTTTGCAAAAGAAAATGCAACAACTTTTCTTTACCTACACGTTGGTTGTGTTATATTTGACTATTTTATTGGCAGGGTGAAACACAAGATCTTCTTTTCATTGCAACTGAAAGATACAAATTCTGTGTTCTTCAATGGGATGCAGAGGCATCAGAGGTTATTACAAGGTCTAAACTGGAAATTTTGCTAATTTGTGTTACTTTTTCTTTCTCATAAAGTTATACATACTTTGTTAATAACTTGCTTCTTTACTTTTATAAGTTGCATATGCTACCCCTGCTATCTAAATGACTAAATGACACAAACATAATCTTTTATTGCTGATGGGGTTCAAATGAATCTCCCAATAGGTTTACCTAGAAAGGTGTTGATCTTTGATGAAATTCTATGCCTGCCAGTTGTTTCCAACCGTTCATCATATAACTTAATTGAATTATTTCACCCAGGCTAGTTGTTTTCTCTCATTCTTTTGCTTTTTCTCAGTGTGATTGCTTTTAGTGACAGGATAGCATTTTCATTTGGTTCTATTGTGACACATGGTATTATTTATCTGTACATATTTTGATTCACAAAATCTAACTTTGCATTTAGTAATTGATTGCACTTTTACTTGAACCAAATACAGATCAATGGGGGATGTATCAGATCGAATCGGCCGTCCCACAGATAATGGGCAGGTATTTTTTAGATTTAACATTTTTTTTTTTTTTTGCTAGGGAGAGTTACATGTTTTGTCATATCTTCTAAATGAGCTTTTTCTTTCCTTTTTCTTTCCTTTTTCTTTCTAGGCTTTTTATTTATTATATTTTGGGGGTAATTTCTGTTCTTTAATTTTATTTTGGCTAGATTGGCATAATTGACCCAGATTGCAGATTGATTGGACTTCATCTATATGATGGATTATTCAAGGTATTCTTTCTTAAAGATAGTCTTTTTTGGGTTCTTGGTTCAGTCTATAGTTTTTCTTCTTGATACCTGTGTTTAGAAATGATTCATCTACACTTATCTCGTTCTCCAGGTTATACCTTTTGATAACAAGGGCCATCTTAAGGAAGCATTTAATATCAGGTACAGTATTTCTTGTTTTCGAGATTGGAGAGGATATTGGTCGTCTTTTAGATAAAAACTTTTTGTGAAAGTAGGAACAAAAATCTAATCTATTTTACGTATCAATACATGTATGTTTGCATGTGTTATAGGATTTGGCTCTAACACTTCATCTTGGTTTCTTATTCAGGCTTGAGGAACTTCAAGTTTTGGATATAAAATTCTTGTATGGTTGCCCAAAGCCTACAATTGTTGTTCTTTACCAGGTCTTTTATTCTTCTTTTAGAAAATAATATCTTAGAACATTTTTATTCTTTAGTTGTATTTTTCACATGCACAGAACTTGGAGACAAATTTTGTTGATGTGTTTCATGTGGATGAACTATTTATGTTGGTTGTCTTGGATTTACCTTGTTCCCTTGAATTAATGCTACAAATTACTCTGTAGGTTTGTACTATATTCAAAAACATGTCTGACTAATTGTGCTGTGAATATAATGCTTGTAACTTTTACTTTGATGGACAGGATAACAAGGATGCTCGTCATATCAAAACATATGAGGTTTCCTTGAAAGATAAAGATTTTATTGAGGGTCCATGGTCTCAAAATAATCTTGATAATGGAGCGAGTTTGCTCATCCCAGTGCCCCCACCATTTTGTGGGGTACTTATTATTGGGGAAGAAACCATTGTATATTGCAGTGCAACAGCTTTTAAAGCAATCCCCGTTAGACCTGTAAGGCAAATGCACACACTTAAATATTCCTTTTTTTTTTTTATCATGCTTTTTAATTTAATTCCTTTTGTCCATATCACATATCTTGTATTAAAATAGGGTTATTAGTTGAACAGATTTCACGAAACCTAAAGTATAATGGTAAAGGTTTTATTTATGTTTAATGATGTGTTAATAATCTTATTTTTATTGATTCAATATTTGTCCTTTTTCTAGTCCATCACAAGAGCCTATGGAAGGGTTGATGCTGATGGTTCTCGGTATTTACTTGGGGATCACAATGGGCTTCTTCACCTACTTGTCATCACTCATGAAAAAGAAAAGTGTGTAGCACTTGGCTGTTATTTATACCTTGAGCTCCTTTAGTTAAGGCTTCTAGTATATTTTTCTACCTTAACGATTTTTTATCTATTGGTTTATAGAGTTACTGGACTCAAAATTGAACTTTTGGGAGAAACCTCGATTGCATCAACAATATCATACCTGGATAATGCTTTTGTCTATATTGGCTCTAGTTGTGGTGATTCTCAGGTATCTTAAATGGCCATTGCTTATGCTTTACTCAAGTCACTATGGATAAATGCCCTTTTTTCATATATTTACTTAATATTTTTTTTGCTCTGAACTAGTATATTTATTTTGTGCTATAGATGCAAAACGAATTGTTTATAGATTGCTTACTATTAGAATAAAGAAGTAATCCTTACACTGGTAACTTGCATTTCTCACGTAGCCAATGTTTATTAACTGTATGGCTTCATAAATTTGCAAATAAATCTGCTAGCTTACTTTATTTTATTTATTTGAAAATCTTAATGCATTTTATTTTGGTGACTAGGAGATCTCTATTTAATTAAATACATATATGAAATGTCACTATCCTCAATTGCTAATGCACACTTATTTTTCAAATTTCACATGAGATATGGAGCATAAATTCACTAATGCATATGTGCTTGGCTGTATAGTGGAATCTTTTTCTACAACTTGCGGAGTAATGCTTTTTTAACAGCTCTTTTGCTGCTGTGGCAGTCATATCCTGGCATTTTATTGCTTCATATTTGTTCCCCCTTCCTTGAATGCAAATTCAAATTCTTTTGGCATTTGATCATGACTTTTTATTTTTTGGTTTTTTGTTTTTAATTCAATCCAGCTTATAAAGCTTAATCTTCAACCTGATGCTAAAGGCTCTTATGTAGAAGTTTTGGAAAGATATGTCAATTTGGGGCCAATTGTGGACTTTTGTGTGGTTGACCTTGAGAGACAAGGTCAAGGTCAAGTTGTAACTTGTTCAGGAGCGTACAAAGATGGTTCTCTTCGAATTGTTCGTAATGGAATTGGGATTAATGAACAGGTCTTTTTTCTTTTAGTCGATTTCTCTTAAAGAGCTATTATATTCCCATTTTATCTCCTTGCATGACCTTTTTGTTGTGTCACTGCCACTTTGTAGGCCTCTGTGGAACTTCAAGGCATCAAGGGAATGTGGTCGCTTAGATCAGCCACAGATGATGCATATGACACCTTCTTGGTTGTGAGCTTTATTAGTGAGACACGCATTTTGGCAATGAACCTTGAGGATGAACTGGAGGAGACTGAGATAGAAGGCTTTCAATCACAAGTCCAGACTTTATTTTGCCATGATGCTGTCTACAATCAGCTTGTGCAGGTAATCCAATGAGTAATATTTTCTGAATTTTTTTTTCTTGATAACTTATATTGCATAATTTGCATTGACCTAAAGTATATTAGATATGTGTGAGCTATATACTCATATGCATAAGACAAATATTAAAACACATGCATGTGCGCACACACATGAATTGGCCATTATATGCAGCCAAAGAATCAGGTCTGCATGACTGCATAACACTTGCCCTTGATTTCCCTCTATAGAAACAATATTCTCTTTTCTTTTTGAAAGTGGAATGCATATACATAATATGGTCTTTGCTCTGAACTAATACCTTTTAATATAGAGAACTCACTGCTTTTCATGGATACACATTTATTTTCTTCAAAAAGTATTTATTCCTTTTCTCTAGGTAAGGGGCATATCTTTAATAGTGGGGGTGTTGCTGAAGATAAATCATTTCATAGTGTGGATGGGTAACCAAAGTACATCTCAATTTGCAAACTTCCATTCTTCATGGACTTGTGGTTGAAGTCTTAAAATTCTATATGATGTCAAAATTATGCTCAAGGCAAGTAAATTATTAGAGGTCTGGTGAAGAGAATGCTTGTGTTTTTGGAGGAAGAAGGCAATTTGCTAAGCGATCAAAATGATTTAGATATTTGTTTGTAAACACCTTTTCTATTGTGTTTTGAAGAATAACTTCAAAATTTACAGTTGCAAGTATTCCAATGGGTTTAACTTTTTGCATGGATTGTCACTTTTTGTTTCTTGTATACTTCTTTTATTGGGCATTATGTCCTTGTCTTTTGTTATAGGCCTTTTTATTAAATTCCCTTGGTGGTCTTACTGGTACTTTTTACGGAGTACTTACCATTCTATTTTCTATGCACTCTTTTCTGCCTTTCACAAGGGTTTTCTGATTCATTGCCTTAGGTTACTTCAAACTCAGTGAGGTTGGTCAGCTCTACCTCCAGAGAGCTGAAACATGAATGGTTTGCTCCAGCTGGGTATTCAATAAATGTTGCAACAGCAAATACCATGCAGGTGTGCTTGCTCAATCTGTAGATAATTTCGTACAAAGATTAGAATATGGACTTTTAAACATTTTCTACTTTTTGGGTTGGATGGAATATAATCAGTTTGTAGTTCATTGCCATGCTTTGACCTTAATAAGCTCATTTTATGCTATCGCATAATTCTGCAGGTTTTGTTGGCTGCTGGGGGTGGTCATTTAGTTTACCTAGAAATTGGTGATGGAACGTTTAGTGAAGTAAAATATGCCCAGTTAGAGCACGATATATCTTGCCTGGATATCAATCCAATTGGCGAGAATCCAAACTATAGTCACCTAGCTGCAGTGGGGATGTGGACAGACATAAGTGTTAGGATATATTCACTACCTGAATTGAATCTCATCACGAAGGAGCACTTGGGAGGAGAAATAATTCCTCGTTCAGTTCTTTTATGCTCTTTTGAAGGGGTAAGTTCTTTTCTTTAATATTCAGAAAATAAATTGTTCTACTTCCAATTTTTAGATAATAAAAGCAGTTGCTATAATAAATGTAAGAACAACTTTGTAATGCTTGTTACTATCTTGAATGTAGTTTCTTAACTTTCCTGTTTTCTCTAAAGTATCATAAATTCATTCATTTCAGATATCTTATTTGCTATGTGCCCTGGGAGATGGTCACCTCTTGAACTTCATTTTGAACATGCAAAGTGGTGAGCTAACAGATAGGAAAAAAATATCTCTCGGGACACAACCCATAACGCTCCGTACTTTCTCATCAAAAAATGCTACGCATGTGTTTGCTGCTTCTGATCGGCCGACTGTCATCTACAGCAGTAACAAGAAATTGCTTTACAGTAATGTTAACCTCAAAGAAGTTAATCACATGTGCCCTTTCAACACTGCTGCCTTTCCAGACAGGTAACTTCTTCGTTTCTTCTCCAATTTGTCAATCATCTTTGTTATGTGAAGTTTTCTTGAAGTACTAGCATCAGTGTTGCAAAAATCGCGCCTAGGCGCCGATTATCGGCGCCTAGGCGCTAGGCGGTCCCCGGCCGCCACGAGGAAGGCTGGAATCGGCATAACTTTTGACTCGGTTGTCCGTTTTGGACAATTTTTTTTTTCAAATCGCGTATTTTTTCGAGATCTACCCATCGCAAACTGGCCCGCTAATTTCTCAAAAAAAAAAAATGCTTCTTTAGCTCTTAATTTTAGTTTTTTATGTATTTAGATGGTTTAAACAATCTTTTGAACAATTTTACAACCACTTACATAAATAGTTTGTAGAAATAACTATGTGAACCTTATGTTTTGTTAGTGAATTTTGATAATTTTTAATTTTTTTATTTTTTTTAATTAAAAAAAAAAATAAAAAAAAAAAAGCGGTGCCTAGGGGGCGCCTAACGTGTTTTGCAACATTGACTAGCATGAATGTATATTAAGTACCATAATTTTAAAATGTAGCTTTTTAAAAAAAGTATACGAAGAGAGGCATTACTCAGTGTAAGTTGAGTTGTATTGTCTTCTAGGTGCCTAACGCTTTCTCCTCTGCTAACAGCCTTGCAATTGCCAAAGAAGGGGAGCTAACAATTGGTACCATTGATGACATTCAGAAGCTGCACATTCGCTCCATTCCCCTTGGAGAGCATGCACGCCGTATCTGCCATCAAGAAGAGACTCGTACCTTTGCTGTATGTAGTTTGAAGTACAACCAGTCAAACGCAGAAGATTCTGAAATGCATTTTGTCCGCTTGCTAGATGACCAGACCTTTGAGTTCATATCAACATATCCACTAGATCCATTTGAGTACGGTTGTTCCATACTTAGTTGCTCCTTCTCAGATGATAATAACGTGTACTACTGTGTTGGGACTGCTTATGTAATGCCAGAGGAAAATGAGCCTTCCAAGGTAAGATATCATTTACGAACAATCTTGCAACCATATCTTTCTTACATTGCACTTCCTCAACTGTTAGTAATTATTTGCTATATTTGCATTCCAGCAAAAGTTGTGTCAGCATTCACTCATCACACACAATGTTGCAAAAGGCGCTAGGCGCTAGTCGGGCACCCGGGGGGCGCCTAGCGCCTAGGTGGCCTAGTAATCCGAGTATATCGTCTCCACCTTTCTCACTCAGGCTAGGAATTGTTAGAATGTTATAATCCCCCAAACTAGTCATCTAAATATGTTAGATGGTTAGTTGAGTACATAGCTGGAGAAATATAGAAGAGGAGTAGTCGAGTAGGCAAAAAAACCACTCGGCCGAGTTGATCGCCAACTCGGTCGAGTTAGGCGCCTGACTCGGCCGAGTCGGCGCCTAGGGTGCCTAGTCAGCCGATTAGTCGGTCAATCGACTAAAAGCCGCCTAGAGCTAAAATCGCCTCAGCCTAGGAGCGCCTAGGCCAATTTTTACAACACTTGTCACACGTAAGTAGAATAAAAGATTTGAAGATTTTATGCAAGTATTAGATATTGCGAGACACACTCTTCCTGTAAATTGATGCAACTCTAGGATGACAAGAGTAACCATATATCTCATCCTTCGCATTTTAGACAACTATTCCATATTAGGTTTGAATAGCATTCAAAAAATATTCGGTTTGAATATCCTGTTGCTTTAATTTTTCTGACCTGCTGAAGCATCAAGCGTTTTTGTTTGGGGATGAGTAATTGCAGGGACGAATATTAGTTTTTATAGTTGAAGATGGGAAGCTCCAACTGATTGCGGAGAAAGAAACTAAGGGAGCTGTATACTCTTTGAATGCATTCAATGGAAAATTGCTTGCGGCAATCAATCAAAAGATTCAGTTATACAAGTGGATGCTCCGTGATGATAGTACGCGTGAATTGCAATTCGAGTGCGGACATCATGGCCATATACTAGCCCTCTATGTTCAAACTCGTGGAGATTTTATTGTTGTAGGTGACCTAATGAAATCGATTTCTCTGCTAATATACAAGGTAAGTTTTGATATTACTTGTGAATCTTTAGCACTAAAGCACTAGTCCTGATGGTTAAAAATATTTTTGTCTAGCATGAGGAGGGTGCTATTGAGGAGCGAGCTCGTGATTATAACGCTAGTTGGATGTCGGCTGTTGAGATTGTGGACGATGACATTTACCTCGGGGCGGAGAACAATTTCAACCTCTTCACCGTTAGAAAAAACAGTGAAGGTGCAACCGACGAGGAGCGCAGCCGTCTTGAGGTGGTCGGTGAGTACCACCTCGGTGAGTTTGTAAATCGCTTCCGACACGGCTCCCTAGTCATGCGACTGCCGGATTCCGATGTCGGCCAGATACCGACTGTCATTTTCGGGACGGTGAATGGCGTTATCGGGGTCATAGCCTCTCTCCCTCATGACCAATACGTCTTCTTGGAGAAACTGCAGACACACTTGAGGAAAGTGATAAAGGGCGTGGGAGGGCTGAGTCACGAGCAATGGAGATCCTTTTACAACGAGAAGAAAACCGTCGATGCCAAGAACTTCTTGGACGGGGATTTGATCGAGTCATTCCTAGATCTCTCCCGGAATCGGATGGAGGAGATATCAAAGGCAATGGTTGTTCCTGTGGAGGAACTCATGAAGAGAGTTGAAGAGTTGACAAGGTTGCATTAGCCACCCACACACACAAAATCTTTTATAAGTTATCACTGTTGATAAATTTGGGGTATCATTTCCCATTCCTGTAAACATTGTAACTCTGTTTCTGCATTTTCTTATCATGTGGCTCTGTGATAAAATGTTATTTCATTATATAAACCCATAGGCCTTTTTTTGGGTTTTTTTAAGTAAAGTCTGTTCTTGATGGGAGTCTCATGGCACCATCTGTTAGTGCTTGGGATGAAGATTAAAGGACAATGCAAGAATATAATAGGATTTACAGTATGAGTATTCAATTCAGATGTGAGGAATGTTTTGTTTACCCAATGAATTTTGTGATAATATTTAGTTAAATCTTTGTAAACAATATGTTATGTTTTTAATTTAAGAATAAGTCTTGTGTGATACATCTTACATTTTTGTGCACATAGAAAAGCAGTGTTGCAAAAATCGCGCCTAGACGCCGATTAATTGGCGCCTAGACCCTAGGCGGTCCCCAGACACCTAGAGGGCTCCTAGCGAGTTTTTCAACATTGTAGAAAAGTATTACACGTCTTACGTGTTACAGTCTTACATAAGATTAAAGACGACAATGGGTTGGGGTGGGTCGAGAAAGATTACATCCACCACCTAATCTGTGTTGTACTTTTTCTATTCATTTCACTCTTAACTTGCACTGGGTAGACTTTTTTACAACTCACCGCGTTGTTCTTGAGTGTTACCACTGCACAGGGATATCTACAACATTCAAACTCAGCCGATGACTGGGTTTTTAATGGAGTTGAAGCAGTGTGACTAACTGTTTGTTTAACTTGATTCCCAATCAGTTATTCAGATTTCACATATATTTTTGTCTTGTCGGTCACACCTTCTGATCTGAATGAACTTTAACATTCCAAAACATTTGTTTTTTTTCTTTTGGTTGATGATGATCAAATCGGTCCAAATATAAATATTAAAATAGAGAAAATTTCAATTTTGGTCACATGACTATAAGAGCATTGTTAATTTTAACACGACTTTTAAAAATGTCAATTTAGTCCATTGACTATGTAATTTTTGTCAATTTTAGTCACTCCGGCCAAATTGACGGTCAAATTTGGCCGGAAAAATTTAATCCAACATTTAGTCTAGAAAGGATCAAAAGACGATTTTACCCCTCAGATTATAGACTAAATGTTTGATTAAATTTTTCCGGTCAAATTTGACCGTCAATTCGGCCGGAGTGACCAAAATTGACAAAAATTACATAGTCAAGGTACTAAATTGACACTTTTGAAAGTCAGGTGCTAAAATTAACAATGCCCCTATAATCATGTGACCAAAATTGAAATTTTCTCTATTAAAATATAATAATACTTGCTATATAATGGGGTTATGGAATTATGGTAGTAGAAACAAAACTCATAAATTAAACATCTCCTGAATTATCATTATGAATTAAAGTATATATGCTTCAATAATTCTACAGTCTAAGCTAGTTTATAAGTTTGCAATATGGGTAGAAAAAATCAATCTCCAAACTCCATGTGATCGAATTGCAACTGCTCCCAATCCGTGCCGAAAGAAGGAACAAATTAAATCCACACGTCACAAATGAAACATAATTGACCAAAATCCACAGAACAAGTTGGATTAAATAATGTAGCTATTTTTGTCTGAACAGTACAGTATTGATAAGAGCTAGAGGGTGTATGTAATGCATGCCCTAGTTTAGGTGGTAGGAGATGGAATGATATATATTAAGAGAGGAAATAAAAAGTACTTGAAAATAGTTATCATTTTTATATTATTATACCATATTAAGTGATGTGAGATATTATTAATGTGATATTACCATACTATGAGATATTATATTATCTGATTATTAATAACCCTACTAAACTATACTTTTAGTTCATCGATGGGAGAATATTGCAAGAGTGAGGCACTACACATTTTGACAAGCTTTCAACATTTGCCCCGTTTGGTCGTCTTCGATCTCGATTACACCCTCTGGCCATTTTACTGATAATTAAACTCTCCCAAACCTTCATATATCATTTATTATATGGTGTCTATCATATCGTATCTGGTACAATCATATATATGTTTATGTTTCAGCCATATGCGGTGCAAATGTGAAGTGCCAAGATTGTATCCTCATGTGAAGGGCATTTTATGTGCTCTCAAGGAGGTGGGAGTTGGCATTGGTATTGCCTCAAGATCGCCCACTCCAAACATAGCCAATGATTTTCTCTGCAAGTTGGGGGATAAAATCTATGGTTGTAGCAGAGGTGAGGTGTGTATATATATATATATATATATATATATATATATATATATAGTTGTGTTACTGATACCTTTTAATTATGATGTTTAATTACTTTGGGTAGTCACCCAAGACAGAACATTTCCCGAGGATCCACAGAAGAACAGAACGGTCGTACAATGAAATGCTGTTTTTTTTTTTTTTTTTTTTTTTTTTTTATGATGAAACTAGGAACATAGAAGCGGTAACGGCTCAACATTTCTCTTTTACCCGTCTAACATCTCGTGAAATGAGATGATTAATTCAGTTAAAGCTTTTGAGTTTGATTAAAAAATGGTTCACCTGTTCTAAGAGTATCATTATCCCTAAAATTTATTCCTTTTCAAAGTGACATGGCATAAGCCATTTGTCACTATTTATATATTTTTTTTTTTAATATGATGTGGCTTGCAATCCTTGCAAGATTAGGCTAACATTATCCCTGCAAATCTCTCCCACCCTAAAAAATGGGTCCCACTTCACATCATTCTATTTGCAAATCATCTACTATTCACACTACATCCTTGCAATATTTTCCTATTTTCTAAAGTGGTCCCACTTACATATTATATTATAAATATAATACTATAATAATAATAAAAGAGATTAAAAAAATAGAAAAGAACAGAAAAGTCAAATAAAGCTGACGTTGGCAGCAAAAAGCTGCCTAGCAAGCTGTTTAGCAAACTTGCAAATTCTGCAAGTTTGCTAGACAGATGGCAGTAAAAAAGAAAAGAAAATAATATTATGCTTCCATGTTATCATTCATGTTATCTTGCAAAGCTTAAATTTGCTGGGATAATCCCAGCCGGCAAGGATTGCAATTTTGCAAGTCTTGAAAAGTGGAAAAAAAGTACAATGTCATAAGTGGAGAAAAAGTCTTTGGTATTTTTTTTTTTTTTTTTTTTTATTATCAATTTTAATAAGTAAATAATAATAATAACATTAATGAAAGATAATAATATTTTAATGTGATGTGAAATATAGACACACTTTTAAAAGTATGTTGAAATTGTAAGTATTTAGAGAAAACAATAAACGAATTGTAAATTTGATGATTTGAAAAAGATGAGAGAATATTGCAATAAGAGCGTTCTCAGCATATTGATTTTTTCTAAGCCAATATTTTTGGTAGTCAATCCAAACTTTCAACTAGTATTATGCTTAGGCCGCCTATAACCTTGCAATTCATTCCCATTGCAATCTTGTGCGGCAAGTTAATATTATTATTATTAAAAAAAAAAAAAAAAAAAAAAAAAGCAACTCAACAAGATTGCAACCACAAATGTAATTCTGACAGCCTAATTGCATGCAATTCAGTTACGTACATGGGCTCTCTTGTCCTTTTCCATTCATTTTATTGATTATTGAAATTATTGAATGTAAATAAAATTATAGTGAATATCAAATATATTGATATATATGTTAGAATGGTAGAAATAAAGATATATGATCTTATATAGTTTTTATTTAGTTTTACTTCAGGTGTCTAAAATGAACGTAACAAGTATATTGGTGGTTAATAAAGGAATAGATCTTAGAGCTTTGTGGCAAGGGCTATATATCCGCTTTCAGTCAACACAACCGGTTCACAATTAAGCCGCTCTATGTTACACCAATGCCGCCACATAAGGGAATTGTGCACCCAGGACCACTGCCACACGGATGTGCCATTACTTAATGCAAATGCGCTGCAAGTTTAAAATGCCATTGAGCCACCATCGACACATTTAGCTATTTGTATGAACTTCTTGCAACTGTTGCAGTAGGAACGGAAAATAAAATGCATTTACTTTACATTTCTTCAAGCTAGAATAGAAAATTAAAGAATTGAAATAATGTTACCTTCCATTGGCCATTTTTCAAAAATGTCATGTAATGTGTAGTTTTGTGGCAATTTATATCGTGCACCAGGGCGTGCATTGCATTGTGCGCCCTGGTGCAAAACGACGTTGTTTTGCACTTTTTTTTTTTTGAAAATTTCGCTTTTCTGTGTTTGTTGTTAATTTGTTAAAAAAAAAGTTCATGTTTTGAAAATGTACATAATTGTATATGAGAATGTACATAATTGTATAACAGAATACACATAAACTTTTAACTGTTAAAAAAAAGCGCGTGTTCAAAATTTACATAATCGTATAAAAAATGTACATAATTGTATAAAATAATGTACATAATTGTATACCAGAATGTCCATAATTGTATACCAGAATGTACATAATTGTATAACATAATGTACATACTTATATAACATAATACACATACACTGTCACGTCGAATCTCCATACAACTTAATAAAACGACGTCGTTTGGGGAGGCGCGGAATGCACTGTACTATGTGCACCGTGGTGCATGGTAGAACAATTGTAGTTTTGTTCCTTGGGCTGTTAGACCTATTTTGGGCTTGGACTCTTTTGGGATGGGTCATTACTAAAAATGAAGAATTTTGAATATTTGCGATAGCAGCTCAACCACCAATCGTTATATCCTACACCACGGCGCACATAACACTATGCGTCGCGCGCCTCCCAAAACGACATCGTTTTGGGGTAGTGTTGGGAGGCGCGGTAGAAAGTTGCTGAGATTATGTGTATTTGTTCATAACGTTATGTGTATTTGTTCACAACGTTATGTGTATTGGTTCATACAGTTATGTGTATTTTTTATACAATTATGTACATTCTTTTTATACAATTATGTACATCCGAATCAGAAAATTTGTGTGTATTATGTTAAGAGTTGATGTGTATTATGTTAAAAGTTTATGTTTATTATGTATTATGTTAGATTATGTGTATTATCTTTTAAAAAGAGTATGTATATTTTGTTATATAATTATGTACATTCATGTATAACATTATGTGTATTCTAGTATAACATTATGTACATTCTTGAACAACGGGTTTTTTTTTAAAGAAAAAACTACTGCCATTCACTGGGGCGGGAAATTTCAAAAAAAAAAAATAATTAAAACGACGTCGTTTTGCATCTGGGCGCATAATGCAACGCGCGCCGTGGTGTAGGATATAAATTACCACACCAAATTATATCACTGACCGCTGATATATATTTATTTT